AGCTAGCAAATGGGAGACAAGTGGTCTGGAATGAAACGGAGGATGAGACGGATGATCAGAGGATGGAAGAGGAATTGGGTGACGAAACGGTTGGTGAGGAGACAGAGGACGAGGCAGATGATGGTGGTGATGATGATCGTGAGGATGACGAGCGGAACGAGGAAGAGGACGATGAGATGGACGAGGAGGAGTCGGGTGGGAAGGAGCGAGATGAGGTGGATGAATGTGTTGATCGTAAGAAGTCAGCTGTGTATCTACACTTGTTATCTCGTCCTGACTGTCTTGGTGTGTATGATGACTCTCATTTTTCTGTACTGTGTCGTGCGCGTTATGTCCAACAGTTGAAAGTCCTAGAGGCAGTTTGTATACGTATTCATAAGCCTGTTTTGTGTAAGCAAAAAGAGCACATTGTTGCACTGAAGTTGTATTCGTAGGTTGACACTTCGTTCAGTGCCTTCTCGCCTTTGGTTATGTAATCTTGTTACCCTTTTTTGCGTTTCCTCTAGTGGTTTTATTGCACGTGTATCTTGATGTTATTTCTAACACCTTTCTATTTACAGTACTTAACTTCAGTTTCTTTGGTTGTATACTAAGATTATGGCTAACAATTTAACTAAACGAGTGCAGGTCAAAATTGGAGTTCCGATCCAAAACTGTTCAAAGGCTAGCTGTAATATGAGCCACAACCAATCTAGACAATACCACTGAAGTCCTTACTCATGCCAGACGGGACTCCCAAACAGCTGGGGTGGATGGCGGGAACGCGGGGTTCGCCTTTCCATCACGCCAACTGGCGGAGCACTGTCAAATACCCGAGCGGTGTCCTCCTCGTCTCGGGCGGCGGCATCAGTGGCATCAGGCTGGTAGGACGGAGTCAGGGTGGATGCCATGGGCTGCGGTGGGTCCGACTCATCTTGCTTGTGGACCTCCTGCAGCCGACTCCGTCGATGATGGCAACTTTTCAGCCGGTTGACGTGCACTATCAGCCGACGTGCCGTGGGTCAGACAGATTGATGCGGTAGGTGACGGCTGAGAGCTTCTCGTCGTCTAGGTACGGTACGGTCCGTACCACAGTCTAGAAAACTTGGCGGTTGTACCCGTCGGAATAGCCGGCACCAGAAGCCACACTGCGTCACCTGCTGCGAACGTCACGGCCTTAGCGTTGCGATCACGGATATGCGCTTGATAGCGGTGCACGTTGCCCAGGTGTTCCCGGACCTGCGCTTGAGCGTCCTCCAGGCGTCGGCGGAGAGCACTCACAAATTCCGGCTGGAAGCTACTGCGGATGCTGCTCCTGGCGGTAATCCAAATGCCAAGTCTTGAGGTAGGCATAACTCCCGACCAAAGAGCAGATAGCTTGGACTGTAGCCGGTACTAGTCTGCGGAGTCGAGCGGTATCCCATCAAGAAGGCTGGCAACTTGATGTCCCAATCTCGATGATTCCGGCAGACATAGTGCGCCAGGCCACGATCAAGCGTCTGGTTGAATCTTTCAACCAGACCGTCACTCTGTGGATGGTACGCAGTTGTCCTGGTCTTATCTATGCCAAGCAGAAAGCAAACACTGCGAAACAGAGAGCCATCAAAGGTTTTGCCCTGATCGGTATGCAACCGATCAGGAGCACCAAAACGTGACACAAACTCATTGACAAACACCAAAGCAATAGTGGAAGCATCCATTCTCGGAAGCGGAAAAGCTTCCACCCATTTAGTGAAATAGTCAACTACAATCAAAATATGGCGGTTCCCTTCCGCTGTCTCCGGTAAATTAGGGATCAAATCCATTGCTACTCGCTCAAAAGGATACCCCGTCCAGGAAGACTGTAGTGGAGCGCCAGACCCTCTGCCTATGGGACGTTTCAACTGGCTACAGGAAGAACAACTTGCAACCCAATCTAAGACATCTTTCTTCATGCCTACCCAGTGAAATTGTTGCGTCAGTTTCTTCTGCAGGCGTGTAGAACCCGTATGTCCCCCTGGTCATGATACTCTTGCAAAACCAAAGAAACGTAAATGTCGGGGAACAACGACTTGCAAGATAGACGGCTTACCGGGGCAAGGGTCCTCCCAACGATGGCACAACACCCCCTCATGATGAACCAGCATTTCATGATTTTTCCACAAAATACGTACCTCAGGACTGCTACCCATCATGTCCTGTGGGCAAGGCGGAGAGTCCATACCTAGCCAGGACACTACTTGGGCGAGATCTCGGTCCTTCTCCTGTTCCGTTTCCCATCTTGACCACGGCCAGTTGAAACGGCGGATGAGGGGTGTGGGGATGTTGCCAACGTCGTTGTTCACGGCCCCTACGAACAGCGTCGTCGGAGCGCCAGGGCGGCGTGACAGTGCAACAGCGTTAGCGTGCGATCGACCTGCCCTGTACAATATGGTGAACTCAAATTCGGACAAAAATTTCAGCCAGCGAGCCACAATCGCCCGTGGATTTTTGAAATTAGCCAAGTGTTCTAGAGAACGATGATCAGTACGAATCACAAATTGTCTACCAAGCAGGTAGCAACGAAAATGCCGCACAGCCCACGCCAAACCCAACAAATCTTGGAAAAGGCGGCGAGGTGACAACAATTTAAGGATTGCAATAAACAGAACCAGCTAAAGCGTCCTTTGACGAATGTTTTATTGAGATGTCCCGGACAAATTCTAGTGAAAGTGGTAAAATATGTTAATAAAAAATGCATGAAACTAGCGAACTTCGTTAACCAGTACAACGATGCTTCCTGATGAGTGTTGTAGGAAAGATAGTTTGATTCATTGCTATATTTTTATCGTTCCTATTCTTGTTCTTCACATTACATTTCCATCATAGCTATTTCTTTTCCCATTAACAATTTCTCTAGAATTAATATTGACTGATTTGAGGGAAAGAGACAAACGGGAAAAGTCTGAAGAAAAAATTAATAATAATAATAATAATTCAAAGGATCAGTCGGGGAAGTGAACTGCCTGAAAAGAGAAAAAAACGCCAGACCCACCAGGACTCGAACCTGCGACCCTGCTTGTCATGAGCAATGCTCTAACCACTGAGCTATGGGACCAGGCTGAACCTAGAAGGCGCTGACAAGTTTTTCACTCCAAAGGCAGCTCACAACACGTGCCACACATACTGATGGCACTTGGGTCTTTCTCCCTCCCCCAGGGGACCAACCACGGTCAGTTTCTGGAAACTACCAGAGGTGAAAGAAAGTGATTAAATTCGGAAAGGATTGGGAGAACTTCAAACCTGGGGGAGGGAAAAAGACCCAAGTGCCATCAGTATGTGTGGCACGTGTTGTGAGCTGCCTTTGGAGTGAAAAACTTGTCAGCGCCTTCTAGGTTCAGCCTGGTCCCATTGCTCAGTGGTTAGAGCATTGCTCATGACAAGCAGGGTCCCAGGTTCGAGTCCTGGTGGGTCTGGCGTTTTTTTCTCTTTTCAGGCAGTTCACTTCCCCGACTGATCCTTTGAATTTGAAGTTCTCCCAATCCTTTCCGAATAATAATAATAATACCACAGCACGCGTAATAATATAATTTTATTAATGCGATTAATAGTATAAGTGAAGCGGACATTACAAAATGATGAATGAGAATACATGTATCTAAAATGGTTGTTCCTAATCGATTTTCTTGAGACTATCATCAGGGAAAAATCGTCTCACAATAGAGGCTATACGGAAAAGCAAACTACTTATAGGTTATAGGATAGTGGGGAGTATACAAGGTTAGGTGTGAAGAAAAAAAACTAAACTAAAGTGGGAGAGAAGACGAAAGACGAAATGGACAAGCACAGGTACGGAGACCAGTAACAAGGAGCATGACTCGTGCGCTGGTAATGGCATCTACAACCGGGCATGGACTGGCAGCGAGCAGTAGCGTGGGATTGTCGTCGGGTGCAGAGGACGGGATGGAAGAGGAGGAGGATGAAGAAGGTGTGAGCAGTGATGAAGAGAGTGACTTGGACAACCAAGATCAAGATGACCGGACTGAAGGTGAGAGCACAACGAAAGGGTCAGCAATTAAAAAAACACCTCTTGTCTAGTAGCCAATGCCGCTCAGTGTATGACGATTCATGCTTCACTGTTTTGTGCCGTGCTCGTTGGTTTCGTGAACTTAAGGTATTAGAAGCTGTTTTCATCCGTAAACACAATCCTAATCTATGCATTCCGAAAGAAAATGTCACAAAATTGAGACTCTTCACCTAGCATTCACACACATATTCATTCGCATACACCTACACCTCACACTTCCTCACTCTATCACATTCACCTGCTTCCACGCCTTCATTTCACTCACCTTTTGTAGTAGCTCACACCGTCGGAACATTCTCACATCTTTTCTTCTAATTTCTTTCGTCTTCTCTCCCACTTTAGTTTAGTTTTTTTCTTCACACCTCACCTTGTATACTCCCCACTATACTATAACCTATAAGTAGTTTGTTTTTCAGTATAGCCTCTATTGTGAGACGATTTTTCCCTGATGATAGTCTCAAGAAAATCGATTAGGAACAACCATTTTAGATACATGTATTCTCATTCATCATTTTGTAATGTCCGCTTCACTTATACTATTAATCGCATTAATAAAGTTATTGTCTCCTCGTCGCCTTTTCAATAATATAATTATGTGGGTATAATTATACGTTCCGCTTCTGCCCTATCTCCTATGATCAAATTCCATTATCAAGGTAATTATTAACACGGTGCACTGATGACCTGTGACGCCAGATCATGGATTGTCGGCCAGATTTCTCCATGTAGGCTTGTCCAGAGCGATGGCCGTCACATTCCCCAGCTGACTGCTGCGCTTCAAGTCGATGTTCCTCCTCTGTAAGTCGCTTGTGATGCGCGTCGCAATGGATGTCCTTGGACGCCCACGCCCAGCCTTGGCATCTCCCGCAAAATACCGTCTCTAGAATTTGTTCTAGACATCTCAGTAAAACCTTCCCGAAATGACACTTCAGCTGGTTTTGTTTATTGCAATCCTTGCATTTTTAATCTTGTTCAGTCATTTCCTGCAACGCCCCAGTGATTGGTAACGGAACACGCGACCAGGGGATTGTCAAATTTGGAGGTGCTGTTCAATATTCGTGTAATGCTGGCTTCCGTCTACAAGGTGATGGATCACCAAACTGTACAGCTGGTGGGAATCTGACATCAATGCCTACATGTTTTTGTAAGTATGTGCAAAAAAGCTTTGACAAACCTCACGTACTGTGTGCTTGTCAAAAATTAATACTGCTGACATGAGCCCTTTCTCCTTCAACATCACAAATCGATATCTGGAGGACAGTATTAGGTAGCTGGGAAGCTTATTTATTTTTATTTTTTTATTTATTCACAATCACGTGGCACTAGCCAATGAAATGGTGATGTGGGCGATAGCCAGCCATGGCGGTAATAGACTAAGAGCTAGAGGGGAGAATGAAAGGGGAACTGAAAAGCAAGAGAAGCTAGGGCAGGGCTGGATATCAACTAGTATGTTGCATTCTGCAGTAGCTGTGTGAATGTATTGTAACATTGGCAGGATTTTAGATGTTGTGGGAGGAGAGACCAATGGCGGTAAGCAAGGAAGAGAGGAGATGTTTGCATAGAGGCAGACCGCGCAATAGGGAAGCGGAGAGAGTTTCTGGTGCGCATGTCTTGAGATTGAGCAAACCAGCTTAGGCAGGAGAGAGCATGAACAGGAGCAATGCCCAGCTTAATTTTATGAATTGTCTGGCATGCCAAAAAACGCACGCGGACCGAGAGCGGCACAGCAGAAGCAAGGCGGTATACGTCTGCGCTTGGAGTCAGGCGAGGAAGCCGACATAATATTTTCAAAAGACGCCTATGCATAACTTCGAGTCGAGCAATCAGTGTTTTAGAAATGCCAGCCCAAATTATGCAGCAGTAATCAAAAATAGGCAGAATGTAAGATGTGTAGATAACATGGCGACAGTCGGTGTGGAGGTGGGTGATGTGTGATGAGAGAAATCCCATTACTGAGCTAACACGGCTGTCTAAATTTTCGATCTGGGATTTCCAGGTTAAGTGCTGGTCAATAATGACGCCAAGATGCTTGTGTTTTTCAACGATGCAGAGCGGGGTTGTGGTGCCTGGAAAGGTGAAGGGACTGGTTACTAATGAAGATAGGTCACAGGAACAACTGGGGGGATACACATTACAGCAGTTTTCGAAGAGTTGGGCTGCAATTTCCATTTTTCCATCCAATGAATAACGCCATCTATGTTGGACTGTAACTTGGCACTAGCCTCGGGGAGAGTGGGTATTGGTCAATAATGACGCCAAGATGCTTGTGTTTTTCAACGATGCAGAGCGGGGTTGTGGTGCCTGGAAAGGTGAAGGGACTGGTTACTAATGAAGATAGGTCACAGGAACAACTGGGGGGATACACATTACAGCAGTTTTCGAAGAGTTGGGCTGCAATTTCCATTTTTCCATCCAATGAATAACGCCATCTATGTTGGACTGTAACTTGGCACTAGCCTCGGGTATACCGCCCTGAGATGATTTTCTGTTGTCTAGGAAATGCCAGAAGCGAAGCACACATTTTAGAATTTACAGCTAGTACTCGACCCCCATATGATAAATTGTCAGAAACCTTTCGGCTTTGGCAGGTTTAGGCGCTTTCCTGTGTGTTTCCATATAAGGGTCAATGGACATATTCATGTTTTCTGGATAGCTGCTATGAGTCAGCATGGGACTGTGGGGTCAATAAATTTGGGCTGGAGTATTGTTGTTTGGCTTTATTTAAAGTGAAGTTCCAAAACAGGCCTAAACCTAATGACAATGGTCCCACTGATAATAAGAGAAAAGAAAAATGTATAAAAATAAGCGGACAAACAGAACCAAGAAGAAGATACAGCTGTAGTCAGATTACTAATATGAGCACGGCAGCAGGGGAAAAAAGTCACAAGCACGGCAACCGGGAAGAAAGGAGTGAGTGAGTGAGTGAGAGAGAGAGAGAGGGAGGGAGAGAGAGAGTGGTAGTGAAGCAGATGAGTTCATCCTAGTTGACGGTCCTGCCTAACAGAAAGGCCAGGCTTAGCGATTTGAAAGTGGAGCGCTTTCTTTCGAGGCGTGCTGTGTCTGGGAGCTGGTTCCACAGAATAGCTCCAGCATCGCTAATGCGCTTAGCTGAGGATGCAGTGGGGGAGACAGGAATGATGAGTAACTTGCTGCTCCCTCCTCGTGTTCGGAGAGAGGGACTACGGGTGAAAAAGCTTGCAAACAGAGTACTTGAAGATTTGTTCAGGCAGCGCCAAATGAATACAAGAATGTGCATGTGGGTGTATATGCTGAGGGTATGGGCATTCATGCGTTCAAGTAAGGGAGCCGTGTGAGTGCGAGGGGCTGCCCTGCACACTGAGCGAGCCGCACGTTTGAACAAACTATTTAGGCGCTTATCCTGATAAGACGATAAGAAAGGGGCATAGGCAGCAGATGCATAGTCAAATTCTGATAGTATAAAGGACCTGAAAAACTGAACACGGCAAGAAAAAGGCAAACATGCTGCACTTCGATTTAGTAGCCCAATCTTAGCCCCAACGCGGCGTGCAACATGGCTTGTCATGGTGTTCCAGCTCATGTCTGAGTCGAAACGTAGGCCAAGATACTTGCCCGTTTTCACAACAGGCAGCGTCTGCCCATTACAAATGACATGCAACTCAAGTGCTTGAGATGGGGATGGGGGAATAGGCAATATCTGTGTCTTTCTTTCATTAAGAATTAAACCACGGCCCTTCAGCCAGGTGGCCAGGTGGTGAACAGCAGCTGAAAGGTGCGCAGAAACAGCTTCCGCAGACTCCCTGCTACATCGTATAGAGATGTCATCAGCAAACTGGATTGCTCCCACATTAAACGGCAATAGTTCTTCTGCTATGCCGCGGGCATAGACAATAAATAGCAGTGGGCCCAGTACCGACCCCTGGGGGACACCTGAGTAACTGGTGTACGGGAGACTTCTAGTCTGGCCAACCTGAACGTACTGTTCTCTATCAGAGAGGTAATCCACCAGCCAACAGAGTGCCGTGTCGCAGATGCCAAGTTCGAACAGATCTTGCACAAGAGTTTATTGACACATGTCATATCCTGAAGACTTTTACGACCAAAATGTTAAGTGTATTATTTTTCTGCCATTATATGACATGATCTTTTGCAGCTATTACCTGCAATGCTACTATGATTGCTAACGGAACACGTGATAAAGGGATTGTCCAATTTGGAGGTGCTGTTAAATACTCATGTAATACTGGCTTTCGTTTACAAGGTGATGGATCACCAAACTGTACAGCTGACGGGAACCTGACATCAATACCTGGATGTATTCGTAAGTATGGGCAAAGAAGCTCTGCTAAACCTCACCACCAATTGAATGGCACTGAATGATCGGTGTATGCCTGAGTGGGAATCTTGCACGATAAACCAGTCACAGCATTGTGTTCTTCTGGTATCAATGTGTTGCGAGATCAAGTTAATTTATATATATACAGGTCCTCCATCGTTAGTAGATAACCTCTGGGCCATAACAAAAGTTGTCTTGTAATGATACTTATCTTGTAACAAGACTTTCAGCTAAAGGTGAAATAGATTCTAATTCTTACTGACCTTGGCTACCCTCGATACAACATAAATTGTCGACGCCTCAATTTGTTATAAATAAGATAATTGAAAATCTCCAGCTTAGCTCTTCCCATATGTCACGTGATTGTCGCCTTGGAGTTTACCAATGACAGATCAAACAGCGCGGGCTGGAAAGCGCGGTCCTGCATGCTCAAAGGTGATGGAACTGAATCCACTGCCCGTCGTCAAGTGACGACGGGCAGGAACGGATTCCACTGCCCATCGGGCAGTAGCCACTGGACTGACTCTCTACTTCAAGGTCTTTTATTGGTAACTTATAAAATAACTAAAGCAGAAGAGCGACTCTTTGCAACCACAGCTGTCATCATGGCGCTCCAACATTTGATCTGGAACTGGGAGAAAAGAAGCCCCTTTGTTGAACGATATTGGCGATGTGAATGAGCTCCTCCGAAAAGTTGAGGAAGAGACTGAAACTTTTATGGCGGAGTCGCTCGCGAAGAAGATCTTGGAAGAGCCGGATGAGCCTCAACCAAAGCGGGCAATGCTCAGCAACCTGCAGGATCCGCGCAATTTGCCGCGGTTTCCGATCAAGACGTGGGAAAAATCCGTAGGAACAGAACCGCAAGAATGCCCGATGCCCAGTCGACAATGTCCATTGCACCGCGAGAAAAAAGCACTATGGACTACAACAAACTGTAGAGTCTACAAGAAAACAATCACAAAACACAATGCAGGTGTGTCTGTCATGTATCCCTTTATTTGGCTTGGGTGCACACGGGAAACACGTTCCAGTCACTCATACTCGGCCAGTACCGCTGTTCATCCAGCCCTTGCCGCTATCGCGGCGCGAGCTGGATTCCGCGGTACTGCCCTCGTACTCGTGCAGGAACCTGCACTTCCTTGGATGCAAACGATGGTCCATATCTACGACTAAATAGATATAATAAGTTGTGTCTTTCTGTTTTCTGCTATGTGTTTTGGCCTTGGTCCTGAATGGGCAATATCATCTTATAGTGAGGGTTTGGCACTCCAGGGACCTGGGCAGGGGTCGTTATAACGAATTTTATGTACTAACGAATCATGTTATAACCGGACCTGTAAACAGTGGTACAGACTATGTTTCGCCAGGGGATTTCAGATTTCAATTTACTATCGGGGTTTGTGTACTAAGTGGACTCGTTATAATGACCGAGGACCTGCACGTGTATGCCTGAACAATTTACTTGGAGACAAGAATGCAAAGATACTGAGAAAAATGACACACTTCAGGCTCTTGAACATATTGAAATTTGTCACTAATATATTTCATTATGATCGCCAGCCTATCTTCAGGTGAAATACAGGCAAAATCAAATGAACATGGACAATGTAATAAATACAGCAGAGAGGTGATAGTGTAATGGGTAGCCGAGTGGTAGGCGCGGTGAAATCAACAAGAATTACTTTTATTCTACTGTCAGGTACACACCTGAGATATAATTAGTAATGAAAGAAGGAACGGCAAAATAACTGACTTTCTCTCCGGTGCTCACCTGGAGGTTGAATAGCTCGTTATTATCAAAATCTCATCTTCATCAAAATAGAAATGCGCAGCCGCTTTTATGCAGCAGACGCCGTACGCTTACATACGGAGATACACTAAATATACATCAGGCAAAGCTCCGTATTAGTTCCGTACTGCTTCCGTATTGGTCGGGCAGGGATACTACACCCTCCCTTCCCACAGATAATCACGCCCTCGTGATTTTCAAAAAATTAGTGAAGAGTTACGAACACAGCGTCAACCGGAAGATGGCAAATTATATCGGAAATGATAACGTTTAGAGTAGACAGAAGAAATGAACTGATAACAAATCATAAGATAGAAGTAAAAGCACACAAGGTTCACACGATCTCATGGGGTCAAAAGGGAAAGAACTGTCCTCCAAATAGGACCTGAAACCACAGCACTCTTGCTGCACTACGCTGGCACAACCCGCCAGGAACATCGCAGTTCAAAAACCGAACTGAATACACTATAACTATAAGGGGCGTTGTCACACACATTGTCCCACGTTAGCTGGGTAAACCGTGGCTCACCATGATCAGACGCCTACCAAACTAAACTGGATTCACACACTCGCATAAAGGAAGACTGAAGAGAACAGGGAGACTGAAGGAAGACAGGAAAGAAAATGCCATACCTGGAATCAGCGTTAGTAACCACGGCGGCGGCTGGAGCTATGGCGGAGGGCGAGCCAGGTTTTATCTTCATCTTGGTTGAGCCGGTGACTCAGAGCGGCTAGCTAGGCGTCAGACAAATAACCTCCCTCCTCGTCTTGAATCGTGGTCTTCACGTTGTCGATAGCATCGCTTGGCGCGACGTAAAGAGTGATGGTCTAGCCAGGAAGAGTGTTGACGACAATATGCATCCCACCACGGAGGCGAAGTACCAAATAAAGAGTGGACTCCTTCTGAACGTTGTTGTGGTCACTCAGGGTTCGGCCGTCTGCCAACTGCGTGCCGGCGAAAATCAAACGCTGCTGGTCTTGGGGAATACCCTCCTTGTCTTGGGCAGCAGCCTGCCTGTTGTCGTCCTCATCAGCTTCACCATCACCACCAGTAGTTAACATGTAGGTAGCGGGTCGCTGGGAATCGCCATCGGAGTCTCCAGTGGATGCCATGCGGAGGGAAGGGTGATCCACGCTAGCACCCTGACTGTGCTGCAAGCTAATAAGTAGGGCCAAGCCCAGGACGGCAAGAAACATGATTCTCATCTTGATTCGTCGCAGGGAGCTGCAGCGGGTTGAGCCATGGGGGGTCTGGAGTCGAATCACGTTGTTTTATTTTTATTTTTTTATTATTTATTATTATTTATTCACAATCACGTGGCACTAGCCAATGAAATGGTGATGTGGGCGATAGCCAGCCATGGCGGTAATACAGCTAGAGGGGGGGAAAGAAAAAGAATGAAAGGGGAACTGAAAAGCAAAAGAAGCTAGGGCAGGGCTGGATATCAACTAGTATGTTGCATTCTGCAGTAGCTGTGTGAATGTATTGTAACATTGGCAGGATTTTAGATGTTGTGGGAGGAGAGACCAATGGCGGTAAGCAAGGAAGAGAGGAGATGTTTGCATAGAGGCAGACCGCGCAATAGGGAAGCGGAGAGAGTTTCTGGTGCGCATGTCTTGAGATTGAGCAAACCAGCTTAGGCAGGAGAGAGCATGAAGAGGAGCAATGCCCAGCTTAATTTTATGAATTGTCTGGCATGCCAAAAAACGCACGCGGACCGAGAGCGGCACAGCAGAAGCAAGGCGGTATAAGTCTGCGCTTGGAGTCAGGCGAGGAAGCCGAAATAATATTTTCAAAAGACGCCTATGCATAACTTCGAGTCGAGCAATCAGTGTTTTAGAAATGCCAGCCCAAATTATGCAGCAGTAATCAAAAATAGGCAGAATGTAAGATGTGTAGATAACATGGCGACAGTCGGTGTGCAGGTGGGTGATGTGTGATGAGAGAAATCCCATTACTGAGCTAACACGGCTGTCTAAATTTTCGATCTGGGATTTCCAGGTTAAGTGTTGGTCAATAATGACGCCAAGATGCTTGTGTTTTCCAACGATGCAGAGCGGGGTTGTGGTGCCTGGAAAGGTGAAGGGACTGGTTACTAATGAAGATAGGTCACAGGAACAACTGGGGGGGATACACATTACAGCAGTTTTCGAAGAGTTGGGTTGCAATTTCCATTTTTCCATCCAATGAATAACGCCATCTATGTTAGACTGTAACTTGGCACTAGCCTCGGGGAGAGTGGGTGCTGTCACAAGTAGTGCTGTATCATCAGCATATAGTGATGTGTGATCCATTTCTGCCAGATCGTTTACATACATAAGGAAGAGGAGAGGCCCCAGGATTGATCCCTGAGGAACTCCAGACCGTACATGCCCTTTGGCAGACAGAGCAGAGCCGACACGCACCCTTTGCTGTCTGCCCGTCAGGTAAGTACTGAGCCACGTGAAGCAAGTACCATGGATTCCATGGCGCGACAGCTTGTATAGGAGCCCGCGTGTCCATACGGTGTCGAAGGCCTTGCTTAGATCAAAGAAACATAGCATGCTGTAATGGCCGTTCTCACGAACAGAAGACATCGATTGAACAAGTCTGAGAAGCTGCCAGGACGTAGAGTCGCCTTTTCGGAATCCAGACTGGGACGGATGTAGAACAGGAGACAGGTAAGTGTATAAGTGGTTGTACATAATACGTTCACACAGCTTGGAGATTGTTGACAATAACGAAATCGGGCGGTAATTCGATGCATCGAGCTTACTTCCCTTGTTCTTAAAGACCGGAGTTACAATTGCGTGTTTCCAAATAGCAGGGAAAGCACCAGTTGCAAAAGTGAGGTTAAAGATGAGGCTGAGAGGGTATGCAATACTGGAACAAAATAGTTTCAGGAGTTCATGAGAAATACCGTCCGCTCCCGCAGCCTTTCGGGTCTTAAGGTTGCGGATTTGCTTTGCCACAGCAGAAGGCGTGGTGGTGACATCTTGCAACGTAGGTGTAGTTCTTCCACGTGATGGGGCGTCGGGTGGCTTGAAGTCTGGCACATTCCATGAAGGATCATCTTGTGTTCCAAAACCAATAAACTGTTCGTTCAAAGCATCTGCCACATCCACAGGGTCAGAATATAGAGTACCAGCGACTGAGAGCTGAGTTACAGTCGTTCTGCTGTTGCCTTGGGGAGATCGAAGCTTCCGGACAAACTGG